GATCTCAATATTGTCATCTGCAGCACCGATAAAAGCACTAAATAGCACTGGGCAAAGAACTAATCCCTAACAGAATCTCACTTTAAAAATACCTGCGTGCTGATGTTTTAGTATGGGCAGTGATGTTTTGTGACCGGCTGGTAAGTGGCTTTAAATCTGTCCACTGTGGCCTACTACCTTAAAAAGATGGACAACAGAGAATCAACTAAAATGTCTGACAAATATAAAACGTGTCTTTTAATCAAGTAGATCCATAAATCGTATCAAGAAATAAGAAATTCAACAAAATCTCTCACTGTAAATAAGCTGAGAACAGTTTTACTGCAATCTATTTAGCAGCACCAGTATTACCATCATGAACTTTGCCACTTTTCTGAAGCTAATGTTGCATCATGTTACATATCTGCATTTGGGAGGCATGAGTTCAAGAACCTAATCTAGAGAGCCTTGCATAACCTTTGGCACATCAGCCACTCTCCGAGGTGGCTGAAGGTATTCTTTCAAAGCACTTTAAAAGAAGGGAGCTCACGAAGAGATGAGACACAGTGACGCTATGGTCATGGAAACCAGATGGCACATTGTTAGACAGCTAAGCCACTAAAACGTTTATCAAAATTGCCAGTGTAACTAAAAGAGTATTGACTTAGCGGAAGTTCCCTGGGAAAGGCACTTGAAAAACAGAAGTGTTAGCACTGAGAAGCTAGTCCTTGGCGTGACAGGACACAAGGCCAGGCTGCACTACCCATAGGCTTCAAAGCAGAAGCAGAGTTAACGGCATCGCCAAGACGCTCGCACAGTGCACGCCTCCACAACTCCTCCTTGCCCTACGTCCCTGACTCACCACAGTGATCAAAGGCCTCTGAACTTGTAGGGCAACTGGCTGTACCACATCCAAGATTGAGAACGGCCAAGAGCTGAAAAGGAAGAAGTCAGCAATGAATGACCCCAAAGCTAAAACAAAGCGACAACAGCCCCGCCACAGGAATATCCATTCCTAGTACCTGAAGCGGAGCAAGCCAGCCCGGCCGTTGGTGGCAGCCTCCTCTGGGAACAGCAGCAGTGGTGGGTTTCCTCTGTGGGACGAATACACCTTCAGGGAATCCACCAGCTCTGCTCGGCTTCCTGTTACTCCCAGCTCCATGAATCCCCGTGACCAGCAGATGAAGCCAGGGGCACCATTCAATGCAGGCTGCAAGGAAAAACAAAAGTAAGGAAGAAATGCCGTCCTGTCCTCCCCTCAAGGCCTACTTTCCCAAATGACAGTGGGAGACAAAGTTCTTGCTTATCAGCAAAAATGTCTCTGGGGGCTGAGGGAGCAACATGCAGGCTAAAAGAACTAGTAGCAGAGAACACTTTACTGCCAGGCTTCGGTAACTGCTCTGGCCCCAATTCCCTAGGAATTTGATTCCTAATCTTCAGTTCAGACTGTACCCTGTCTGCCAGAGAAACAAACTCCTCTCCTGCCCTGGGCGACAACCGTGTTTCCCCATGTTTCTTCTAGTAGTTCCTGACACACCTGGCAAAGGATGCACTACTTCCAAGAGTTACTGTTCTCCGGGTAAGGAACAAATCCACTGCTGTGCAGGATATAGGACCAACCAACTCACTCCCAGGCACATTCGGAGCCTGTTGATTCAGGAACTCCACACATAAGGAATTTCACAAGAGTACAGGGAAAGTTACACAACCACCAGCCCAGCACAATAACCCGAGCACCACCGCCCCCCCATGCAGCTCCCCTCAGCACTCCCCTGAAGCGCAGCCAGCTCTCCACACGCACAGAAGTAGCACCCAACGCTGTGGGAAAACCCCACAACCAGCCCTGCTTCTGACACCACCTATTTGAAAGGCCAGAAAAAGATACAGATGCTAGGATTTGCCCACTCTCTTTCAATAAAATCAATACCCACTGTAACATTTCCCATTCCTCCTCACCCTGTTTTATTTTTTCGTGTAGAGCCTAAAGCGTGACACTGAACCACGGGAAAAAAACTCAAGCCTTGTGCAATCCTGGGTTAATAAATAAGAACTGAAGAGGACCATGGCAACACCTAAATTCTGAAAGAGCTCTCTGTGCACTTCTCTTGGAGAGAGGTACTTCCAGACCCGCCATGCTCAGCTCCAAGTTACTCACCGTATTACATGAGGTCAGAAGGTTGATGACATTGTGATCAAACTGTGTCACGTGGTTGGCGATATACACCCTCACATTGACATCACGAAGCCGGGGATCACTTTGCCGCACAAATAAGCCCAGCACTGAGCACATCACACGTACAATAAACCTGGGGGGGAGGGAAGTGGTTTCCTCAAGTCTTGCAGTCTGAGCTATCGCTGGCTTACATATCCAACAAACAGAACACAGACCTGGGAATTCATGTGACTTGCAAAAGGACACTGGTACAAAAAAGAAACTATATGACAGATGTCTGAGACAGGAATTGTTGGGGGGCTGCAGTTGAGGCTGAAGGCTGCCTGCAAAGCTGTAGCTGCAGCATGAAGTATGGGCCAGCAAGCCTCACACAGAATTTCTTAGCAGGATACCCAGCTGATCCAAGTGTTTCAGATCAGTCCTTGAGCACTCAAGAGGCAATTGCTAGCTTTGGTCTTGGCAGAGAAGGCACCTTCATGGGTCCTGGGGACAAAGAGTCCCGAAAGCACAGCTGCCCATAAACCTCTGCGTGAACCAAGCCCCCATGGCTAAGGACCCCAAATGGGCGAGGGCAGCCCTCCCACCCCATGCTGCCCCACAGCGGTGTCTGCACACCACATCCCCACCCCAGGCAACAGCAGGAGCTCCACGCCCTGGGGAGAGCTGGGCTCACGCACCGTCGCAGCACGCTGTCAGGCAGGGCGCAGCTGACCAGAAAGACGTGTACGCCAATGAAGAGGCGCAGGACGAGCAGGCAGAGCCCCACGGGTGCGTAGAGCAGCAGGGCCAGAAGCAGGAACCCATCGGTTGGAAACCTGTAGGGCCAAAGAACAGCACAGACAGCCTGAGCATGGCTGGGACCCCCAGCTGCCCGCCCGAGCCCTCCCCAGGGACCACCCTATGTCCCCCGCTCCGTGTAACCTCCCAGGCCTCCCCAACGAGATACCCAGCCCATCCCGGGCCTCCCGGGCACACCCTGGACCCTCTCTGGTCCCCCCACGGGACCCCCCGACCTTCCCCACGGAGC